TTAATTTTTTCAGTGGCTAGAAGAAAAAAATTTTTTAACATCACATCCTAGTGAGATGGTTGTGAACAATAGACGACTGAAGCAAAATAATCGCCGGTCCTGAGAGGTTTTTTCAAGGGGTTTTTAAGGAAACAAAATGGGAAATGGGGAACCATTAACTAATATTTTTAATTTTTTTCTTCAAAAAGGGTAGTTCTGATATGTGGGAAAATGGGTAATTTAATTTCCCATTTTTAAAACAGGGGACAAGTCGTTATCAAATTAACGCCCAATAAGCTGACCTCAATTGTAGGCAAAATTACTAGATCAATTATAGCTGAATTATAAGAAGCCTCTCGATAACTAGCTTGATTAATGTACTCAGCATGGATTCACAAGAGGCCCGGCTTGTCTAACTAATTTATTAATTTCTTTAGTAAAGCTTTTGAGGCTTTTACCACAATAAAGAATTTGATATTATTTTCTTTGATTTTAGTAAAAGGGTTTTGATAATTCCGCACCAAACGTTAAAGAAATGGCAGCTCATGGGATTGGGGGGGAAAATGCTCTTGTGGATCGAGTCGGCTCACGACAGGAAGCAAAAGTGGCCCCTAAATGGGGGTTTAAATCCGAGTGGGATCTGTAAAAAGTGGCGTTCCACGGGATCAGTCTTGGGGGCCCTTTTTTTTTATAATATATAAATGATCTTGATGGGGAAATTTCAGTGTATGAGCAAATTTTGCCCCATACACAAAGAAAGGTAGGTAATTATTCAAACGTGATTTTTGGAAATTCGGAGGATTTAAACAAACTCCCTTCGTCAGAAAAGGGCAGATGCATTTAATTAGATAAATGCAAGGTTCTGAAGCTTGGAGGCCAAAATCCTAGTACTTTTAAAAATTTAAAAGATGTAGAACTTACCATACGATTTCAAAAGGACTTGGGGGTTATGGTGAGCAGCAACCCTTAAACCAAAACAGCAATGCCTAAGCGAAAGTAAAAGGAAAAAAGATTCTGGATTTTTATCAAGAAGTGAAGCAACAGAAGTCCAGAGGTCATACTGCAGCTTTTTTTTACTCATTAGTAAGGCCTCACCTAATTATGCAGCTCAGTTCTGGTCTCCTATTTCAAAAAGGCATAAATTCGTTGAAAAAATTCAGCGTAGGAGACTAAAATTTAATACATAGCATTAGAAATCTTTCCCTTTTGAAGAAGATTTTAAGACCTAAGTTACATTCACTTGTTAACAAGAATGAGGGGGCCCCATCGAAGTGTATAATGGAAGATAGGGATTAATAAAGGGGATATTAATAAGGTCTTAGGTGTCTCTCCAAAAAAAGAACCCCCATAAGGGTTTTAAAATTTGATAAGTTTAGATTTAAAAGGACATAGAAAAGTATTTGGGTTTTGGAAAAAAGGGTAGTTGATGAGTGGAAAAGTCTACCGTTTGGGGGATTTAGGCTGGACTTTGGGGATTTTAAATAGGGTTGGTTTAAATACATGATGGGAGGGGTTGGATTGAGTGGGACTTTTCACATCAACTTATTTCTTGGGTGGCATTGAAAAATTGGGGGAATTTTTTTTATGGGATGAAATTTTAAAGGGCCTGCCTAGTAGGGCCAGCAGGCCTCCTCATGTTCCTCCTTTCTTATGTTTTATGTTTTTATTTTTTTTTTTTAAAATTCTTTGGGCACGGGGCGTGACTCCCGATTTTTGGGGCCCTTTACCCTGAAAGGGTTTTTAAAGGGGAATGTGTGGTGTAAATTTAGCAGAAAATTTGGATGTGGAAATTTGGAGAAGTGTGGAGTTAATAAAGCTTATCAAGGGGAGAAGAGGGGTTTGTTGAGGTGGTTTTGGTCATTTAAGAGAAGGATCCAAATAAATACATGGGAAAACTATAAATCATAGGGAAAGGAAAGGGGGGGAGGTTTGTCCTCGAAAGGGTTTAAGAGGGGAAAGGAGGTTTTTTGGGCGAGGGGGTTGGACTTCCAGCAAGCGGGCATGAGCGTGTTAGATAGGAGTGAATGGAGACGAATGATACTTGGGACCTGACCATCTGTTGGAGTGTGAGCAGGGTAATATTTAGTGAAGGGATTCAGGGAAACCGGTTATTTTCATATAGTCGGACTTTTGTCCTGGAAATGGGAAGTACAATGCCTGCACTTTAAAGGAGGGGTTTTGGGATATTGGCAGTTTGGAGGGATATGTTGTGTATCTTTATACGTATATGCTTCTAAACTGTTGTATTCTGAGCACCTCTGCAAAAACAGTGATAATGTGTGAGTGTGGTGAAAGTGTTGAATGATGATGAAAGTATTTTCTTTTTGGGGATTTTCTTTCTTTTTTGGGTCACCCTGCCTCAGTGGGAAATGGCCGACTTGTTGAAAAAAAAAAAAAAGTATAATTTTCAGAGTACAGTGGACCCCCGCTTAACGATCACCTCCAAATGCGACCAATTATGTAAGTGTATTTATGTAAGTGCGTTTGTACGTGTATGTTTGGGGGTCTGAAATGGACTAATCTACTTCACAATATTCCTTATGGGAAAAAATTCGGTCAGTACTGGCACCTGAACATACTACTGGAATGAAAAAAGTTCGTTAACCGTGGGTCCACTGTATATATAAAATATTAGGTAGTATGCTGATAGACAGCAACCGCCCAGAGAGGTACTACCGCCCTGCCAAGTGAGTGTAAAACGAAAGCCTGTAATTGTTTTACATGATGGTAGAATTGCTGGTGTCCTTTTTTCTGTCTCATAAACATGCAAGATTTCAGCTACATCTTGCTACTTCTACTTACACTTAGGTCACACTACACATACATATACAAGCATATATATACTACACACACTCCTCTGGGTTTTCTGCTATTTTCTTTCTAGTTCTTGTTTATTTCCTCTTATCTCCATGGGGAAGTGGAGCAGAATTCTTCCTCCGTAAGCCATGCGTGTTGTAAGAGGCGACTAAAATGCTGGGAGCAAGGGGCTAGTAACCCCTTCTCCTGTACAAGTTACTAAATTTAAAAAGAGAAACTTTTGTTTTTCTCTTTAGGCCACCCTGCCTCGGTGGGATACGGCTGGTTTGTTGAAAGAAGATATAAAGTACCAAATAACTTTTAAAAACACTTGAAATTTTGGAGTTTCCAGACATAATGGAGAGATGTGGTGCTTACGGAGCTCACGGAGAATGTAAACTGGGTGGGGCGCAGTGACCATATTAGAAAGTCAGGTGGGGGGGAGCCGTATAGAGAGTTTTGGTCATAATTTAAAATGTCCGTATCAGTAGAACGCCATAAAGTGAAATGCCGTAAAGAGGGGCCCTACTGTACACACACAAAAAAAGATGCAGAAACTTGTTGCACCAATGGATGCTGACTCAGACCTTGGAGTACCAGACTTTTGCCTTAAATTTAGCAGAGCAGATGCCATCAGCAACGTTAAAAGTGCACGGAACTAAGTGCACCAATTAACATTAAATGAAGATTGGGAAAAATTATGACCTAGAGTGGTGAATAATTTCACAAGTTTTTCCTCAGTTGAGAGCCAGGTGCAAGATATTGTTTAACTGGCAAGGAAATTGCCAGGTAAGAGCTTTGAAGACATGCAGGAAGACATGAATGAGCTCTTCAAAGATGAATAGGAAGGCAGAAATCCAGAAGAAATGTTGGCAGAGTTCAGTGCCCAGATACGAGGAAGACAGATAGCAGACAATGATGAGAAAGAACTTGAAGAAAAACAGTTACATGAGTAGTTCCAAGTCATCGGTAAAGCTGCAGAACCTTTCAACTAAGACGATTCTGATAAAAATGTAAGTACTCCTCTGAAACAGTGTCTGGAGCAGCTGATGATGAATTTAGTCAGTTGTAGTGTACTGCAGGGTAAAACAGACCAAAGATGCATTACAGAATTCCTCAGTACTCCAGTGCAACCATCAACATCAGTGCAATAACCTCAGGCTTCCACCTCAGCCCAGTAGGGCCACGCCATACCTCTCCAAACCTTTCAAATTCATCGACATACATCAGCAACCAGAATTTAAGGTAAGAAAAATTATTTATGCAACCTTTGTAGCCATAAGCATTGTATTAAACGTAACACATCACTACATTCAAATACAATCTTTTTTTTTTTCTAGAATTTCGAGACCTAAAAAAAAATTGTTTCCCATTTCTAGGGGTTCTGAGACAAGTAACCCTATTTTTACCACATGTTCTCCAGTTCATTGTAGACAATTTTTTTGATTTGACAATATTTTCAAGAACATACCAATCAACTTAATCAACAGTCAACTGTATATGATCAACCAGTATAAGGACACAATGCATACTCAAGAACATATTCAGCACCTCCAGGATGGAACCGCCAAGTTCACCTGCGACCCAACTAACCCAACCACCACTGAAGACATGATCAGACTACTCACCAAGTACCCCAGCTTTGCCAGACTTGACTACACATCAAAGAAGAAATTCGGGACTCTTCAGACTGGAACTCTTAAAGACGGTACCCTCCTCTAGCACGACCATCAATGACCACTCACCGAGAACACAAGTTTCCCCAGCACTTTGCTTCCTGCTAAAGCTGGGGTGTAGCTCCAAAACGAACCCTGTAATTGCTGCCTTTGCTCGATTGTGCTGCTGCAGATGCTAAGCAAGAAGACACTCCCCACTTGGGGAGTCAACGCAAGACAGAAGAAGTTGCCCTCCAACTGGAGGGCCCAAGAAAGAAGACAGAAGAAAGATGATGATGAAGCCACCCCCCACCCGAGGGGCCACTGCCGGGTCAGCATCTGGAGAAGACCCGGGCCGGAAGCACAGTACTAAAATCTCTCATATGCCTCCAGCAATTACTTTACAGTCCATATCAACTAATTGTGTCCCTTTCATACTACATTCAGAATTAAGAAAAACAGCCATGATATGAACAAAATATAAAAAAGCTAATTGATCCTTCTGCCTATACACAGAAAAAGTTAAAACAGCTCACCCAAATAACATTTAGCTAAAGGAAAAAATCTCACCTGTCATGCTCTTTCTCGACGAGATGATAACGCGCTCTGAATGCAACCAGGTGCGCATAATAAGCTGGAGCAGGAATGGAGACTGACCGAGTACAACGAACATATGTGTGGCACAGCTGGTAGGTCAGGCACTGCAGTTCATCACTATCAAAATGGTTATCATCCCACAGTACATGATAGTGACTTGGACGACTAGTGCCCTGATGAAGAGGAAAAAATGTAAGATGTAACCCGATATACAATACTACCTTGATACTTACAGTTTTAAACATGGATATACTGCTAATGATATCTGTTACATCCTCAGTGGTAAATGAAGGAACACATCTTCACTCTTCCTATTTTCATGTTTTGAGGATGAAAACTATTAAAGGAAGAAAGAGCACTGAAAGATCCATGTTAACAGTAACAGGATGAATTTCTGATGATCATTAATATTTGTAATACTATATTTCAAATAAATATTAAAACACTACAAGATCTGAATGTATGAAGTACATATAAAACTAAAAAGTGAGTAGTGTCAAGGGCATCCAAACTTGGTGTACAAGAAGGTGACTTTAATACCATACAGATTATTTCATTTTGAATCTACATTCTGTTATTTATCATGCTAATGGCATAGTTTGAACAAATAATTCACTTATTTTTTTCAACACGTCAGTCATCTCCCACCAAGGAAGGGCGACCTAAAAAGAAAATCCTGAAAAAGAAAATACTTTCATCATTATTCAACACTTTCACCTCACTCATACATAATCACTCTTTGCAGAGGCACTCGAATACAACAATTTAGAAGTTCCTCCAAACTGCCAATACCCCAACCCCTCCTTTAAAGTGCAGGCAATGTACTTCCCATTTCCAGGACTCAAGTCAGGCTAACCGGTTTCCCTGAATCCCTTCACAAAATATTAACCTCCTCACACTCCAACAGCTTCTTGGGTCCCAAAAACCATTTCCTTCTATTCACTCGTATCTAACACATTCACGCATGCTTGCTGGAAATGCAAGCCCCTCACCCACAAAACCTCCTTTACCCACTCCCTCGAACCTTTTCGAGGACAACCCCTACCCAGTCTTCCTTTCCATACAGAGTTATACACTCTCCAAGTCATTCTACTTTGATCCACTCTCTCTAAATGACCAAACCACCTCAATAACCCCTCTTCAGCCAACTCCTAATTTCCACACTCAGAAATCTCTGTTTAATATTTACACCACAAACTGACCTTAGACAGGACATCTCCACTGCCTCCAGCCACCTCCTAGCTGCAGCATTTGCAACCCAAGCTTCACACGCACATGAGAGTGTTGGTACCACTCACTATACTTTCGTACATTCCCTTCTCTGCCTCCATGGATAACGTTTTGTTTTTTTCCACAGATACCTCAATGCACCACTCACCCTTTTTCCTCCATCAATTCTATGGTTAACCTCATCCTTCATAAACCCATCTGCTGACAAGTCAAAGCCCAAATATCTGAAAACATCTACTACTTCCATACTCCCTCTCTTCAATGTGAAAACCAATTTTTTTTTTTTTTATCTAAATCGTTTGATACCCTCATCACCTTACTCTTTTCTATGTTCACTTTCAACTTTCTACCTTTACACACCCTTCCAAACTCGTCCGCTAACCTTTCCAACTTTTCTTTAGAATCTCCCATGAGCACAGTATCATCAGCAAAAAGTAACTGTGTCAACTCCCATTTTGTATTTGAATCTCCATAATTTAACCCTTTGACTGTTTCAGGCCCCTCTCTGAAACTGTCATTCTATGTCGCTCAATTTTTGAAAAAAAAAAAAAATTATTTTTTCTTATGAAATGATAGAGAATCTTTTCCCGATGGTAATGACACCAAAAGTTCGAAATTTGGTCGAAAACTCATGGAATTATGCTCCCGAATTTAGCGGTCTCGGCAACATAAGCGTATCGGCGATTTCGCCGACTTTGAGCCCTATTTTCAGCCAATTCCATTGTTCCAGTTGACCAAACTCAGCTATTTCTTTAGAACTCCATTTTATCTATCAGCTGAGTACAAGAAACCTCCCATTTACTAATTTGGACTACCCAATATGGTGTTCAGAAATTGGCAATTTGGCCAATTTCATGCAAACTAAAGAAGATGCCAATTTCAAAATAGGGTCCAGAATAAACAAGGCAGACATATGTGGCACTAAAATAACATATGCTCTGTTCATTAGTCACATCTCTAGGCTCCTCTTATATTATTATTGCTTTCTATTTTGATTTTTTATTCATACAAAAAAATACAAAATTTACTGTTATGCAGACTACTGCATTATTGTAAAAATGGTATAAATAATATCAGTGCACTAGTGAAAGAATATTAGACTCCCCAGTTGACGTGTATTGGACGTGTGGTGTGATTTATTTACTCCTGAACATTGGTAAAAATCGAACATTTCCGCTACTTTGAGCTCAGTTTAAAGGTCGTTTTCATCGTCAAAGTAATGAAAATCATCTCTATTTCTGTAATATGTTTTCCATTTTATCACCTAAGACCATGAAAACGCGAATACAACGATAAATACTATACGAAAATACACCTCAAAGTCAGCGTTTTATTAAAAAAAAAACGATCAGTTTTTTTTCTCATTACGCAATGTGTGCTGCAGGATTTTTTTTATGTGGTGCACACTGACCACACAGACCCATTCTCTCACATGTGGGCCTACCAGCTTTCTCCCGCTTGATTTGAAGTCGCTAGAATTATTGAGTATATATACGTCAGAAACACTGGCTCGTAAGACGTATTTATACGTCGAAAACAGTCAAAGGGTTAATCCTACTCCTCTCCCCAACACTCTAGCATTCATTTCTTTTACAACCCCATCTATAAATATATTAAACAACCATGGTGACATTATGCATCCCTGTCTAAGGCCTACTTTTACCGTGAAGTAATCTCCCTTTCTGCTACACACCCTAACCTGAGCCTTACTACCCTCAAAAAAAACTTTTTACAGCATTTAATAACTTACTACCTATTCCATACACTTGCAACATCTGCCACATTGCTCCCCTATCCACTATCATATGCCTTTTCTAAATCCATAAATGCAATGAAAACTTCCCTACCTTTATCTAAATACTATTCACATATATGCTTCAATGTAAACACATGATCTATACATCCCCTACCCACTCTAAAACCTCCTTGCTCATCTGCAATCCTACATTCTGTCTTACCTCTAATTCTTTCAATAATAACTCTACTGTACACTTTACCTGGTATACTCAGTAAACTTATTCCCCTATAATTTTTACAAACTCTTTTGTCCCCCTTCCCTTTATATAAAGGACCTATACATGCTCTCTGCCAATCCTTAGGTACCTTCCCCTCTTTCATACATTAATTAAACAAAAATACCAACCACTCCAACACAAAATCCCCCCCTGCTTTTAACATTTCTGTCATGATCCGTCAGTTCCAGCTGCTTTACCCCCTTTCATTCTACGTAATGCTTCATGCACCTCCCCCACACTCACATCCTGCTCTTCTTCACTCCTAAAAGATGTTATACCTCCCTGGCAAGTGCATGAAATTACCGCCTCCCTTTCAGCATCGACATTTAAAAATTCCTCAAAATATTCCCACCTACCCAATACTTCCAGTTCCCCTTCAACTAACTCCCCTACCCTGTTTTTAACTGAGAAATCCAGTTGTTCCTTAGGCTTTCTTAACTTGTTTATCTCCAAAATTTTTTTCATATTTTCAGCAAAATTTCTTGAGAGTGCCTCTCTCACTATCATCTGCTCTCCTTGTGCACTCTCTCACCACTCTCTTCACCTTTTTTTTTTACTCTCCATATACTCTGCTCTTTTTATAACACTTGTGCTTTGTAAAAACCTCAAATAAGCTACCTTCTTCTCTTTTATCACACCCTTTACACAACCTGCACATAGAAGAGAGAAGCTTACGACGACGTTTCGGTCCGACTTGGACCATTTACAAAGTCACACTAACCAGAAGTGGAGCAGGACGGCTATATATAATCAGGAAGAGGTAGCGGCAGCGGCAGCAGCGGTGGCGGCGGCAGCAGCAGCAGCAGCAGCAGCAGTAGTAATAGTAGTAGTAGTACAGTGGACCCCCGCATACCGCACTCATCGCATACCGTACAATCCGCATACCGCTCACTTTTTTCGCAAAAATTTTGCCTCGCATACCGCCCAAAAACCCGCTCACCGCCCTTCGTCCGAGACGCGTCCAATGTGCGGCCTGAACCACGCTCACATGTTCCGCCGGTGGCATTGTTTACCAGCCAGCCTCCGCGGTAACATCCAAGCATACAATCGGAACATTTCGTATTATTACAGTGTTTTTGGTGATTTTTTCTGGAAAATAAGTGACCATGGGCCCCAAGAAAGCTTCTAGTGCCAACCCTACAGCAATAAGGGTGAGAATTACTATAGAGATGAAGAAAAAGATCATTGATAAGTATGAAAGTGGAGTGCGTGTCTCCGAGCTGGCCAGGTTGTATAATAAACCCCAGTCAACCATCGCTACTATTGGTGGTACAGCTGCTGCTGCTGCTGCTGTACCACCGTCAGCTGCTGCTGCACTGTCAGCTGCTGCTGCTGTTGTACCACCGTCAGCTGCTGCTGCTGCTGCTGTAGCATCGTCTGCTGCTGCTGTAGCATGTCTGTCCTTAGCACGTCTGGCTGCTGTAGCATCGTCTGCTGCTGCTGTAGCATCGTCTGCTGCTGCTGTAGCATCGTCTGCTGCTGCTGTAGCATCGTCTGTTGCTGCTGTACCACCTCAGCTGCTTGCTGCTGCTGTAGCACCGTTGTTGGTGTGGCTTATTGAGAATACCAAGAAACCATTAACCCCAGAGGATTTGCCACCCAGGATAACCCAAAAAAGTCAGTGTCATCGAAGACTGTCTAACTTATTTCCATTGGGGTCCTTAATCTTGTCTCCCAGGATGCAACCCACACCAGTCGACTAACACCCAGGTGAACAGGGAAAAATGCCTGGAACTAGTGCTCATATTGGTGAATTTAAAGCCAGCAAAGGTTGGTTTGAGAGATTTAACCCTTGACTGTAGTCGCGATAAAGTAGTTTACAGGCCATGTTCTGAAGATTATAAGCATAAACAGCAGCTTAATCAAGCAGGAGAAAGTGTAGGCCACTCCCGAGAGCACAGTGTCTCATGGTCATGTGCTGCATCATT